ACCATAGAGCTTCCCCTAAATTATTCCTGTTTGAACTAGAAAGGCATCCAGGCTTGATTTGAAGACATCTGGAGATGGGGAATCCACCACTACTTCCCCTAGTAGTTTGTTCCAATCGTTAATTACCATCACAGTTCAAATCTATGCTTAATTTCTAATCTGAATTTGTCTGGCTTCAGTTTCTAGCCATTGGTTCTTATGACCTTCTCCATTGGATTGCTAAATTTGTTAGCACTTGGTATTTTCTTCCTGTGAAGGTACTTACACACTGTAATCAAGTCACCTCTCAATCTTTTTGATAAGCTAAACAGATTGTGCTCTTTAAATCTCTCAGTGAGGCATTTTCTCTAGACCTTCAATCATTTTTGTGGGTCTTCTCTGCACCCTCTCCAATTTCTCAACATCCTTGTAAAAATGTGGACATCAGACCTGTACACAGCATTTCAGTCTCCATCTCACCAATGTCATATACAGAGATATAATCACCTCCCTACTCCTACTAACTACTCCCCGGTTTATATGTCCAAGGATCACACTGGACTTTTTGCCACTGCACTGCAGTGGGTGCTCATGTTCAGTTCCTAGTCCACTGTGACCCTTAAATCCTTTTCAGAGTCACTGCTTTCCAGGATACAGTCACCAGCTCAATAGATATGACCTGCATTCATTTTTCTCAGATGTATAACTTTTCATTTGGTTTTATTAAAACACATTTTGTTTGAATGGGGCCAGTTTGTCAAGAAATCCAGATTACTAGATGACTGCCCTGACCTCATCATTATTTCCTACCTCCTCCAACCTAGCATTTCAAAAGTTTCTTTTATCCTTCATAGTTCCCTACTCATAGCATACACTTTTGGTCAGAATTTAGTTCATGGATATATCTTTTCAAATCATAGTCTAAATTAACTTCCCCACAGGACACCTCTGTCTTCCCTTTCCAGTATTAATTAGTCCTTCACTGATCTGGCTTGGAATGTTACTTGAAACAATTTGTCATTATCTCCAACTTAATTTATATTGTGGCAGAGCTCCGACCTTGTCTCCGTGGGTCCGGCGCTTCCAGGAGGTTTATGCTAGCCTCAGAAGCTCACTGCGACCCGCCATGTAGCCCTTCTCTCTCTAGGGCCAGGGTTACAGTCTACTGAGCCCTTTTCATCATAAGCCAGCAAGGAGGTTGGTGAGAGAACTCCCACAGTCTCTGTTGTCCCTATGGGCTTATTCAAGAACAGTTTAGCCTATGTCCTGACGGGGGCCTGTCTTCCTCTTCCAGGAGGTGTTTCTGTAGTGGCAGGTTGGGGGGAACCCGGGTCCGCCCTTTACTCCGGGTTCCGGTCCAGGGACCCTATTGGCAGCAGCTGTTGGCAGCTGATCTTTCACTGCCAGAGCTGCTACACTTCCCTGGGCCACTTCCCCACAGCTCTCCTGCTTCTCTCTCTTAACACCTTCTTCACCCTTACCTTAGGTCTCCCTTTCCAGTGGCTTGAAGGTGTCTTCATTACCCAGCCGCACTTCCTTTCCTCTGGCTCCCTTTTCCTTCCCCCGGCCTAACCAGAGTGAGCTCTTTTACAGTAACAGAGGAGCCTTAATTAGAGTCAGGTGTTCACATTAGCTTAACAGCCTCACCTGACTCTTTGCAGGCTAATTGGAGTCATGTGTCCACCCTACCCTGGAGCAGTCCCCGCTCTGGTCAGTCAGGGAACAGAAAACTGTTTATCCGGTGGCCCGCATATCTGCTTTCTACTACTCTGCTATACATCAGCTGGCGGCTCCTTCACGGAGCCGTGAGCACGGGCGTGTACTTGGCGCGGTTCACTCCCCTCCCAGACACCTGCCCCTTTTGCGGTGTGAGGGAGACCCTGGCGCATGTATATCTGGAGTGTGCCAGGTTGTCGCCCCTATTCCAGCTCCTCTTGGATATATTATTACGTTTTTGGTTGCACTTTTCCCCTCACCTGTTCATCTACGCACTCCCTATCTTTGGCCCAACAAAGTCACGGGACCTCCTTGTCAGCCTCCTCCTAGCCCTGGACAAAATGGCCATCTACAAAACCAGGGAGAGGAGGTTGGCTGATGGGGTTTCCTGCGACTGTGGGGCCTATTTCCACTCCTCCGTGCAGAGTTCCTCTGGGTGGCATCCGCTGGCTCCTTTGACACCTTTGAGGAGCAGTGGGCGCTGTCCGGGATTTTCTACTTGGTGTCTCCGTCAGATTCCCTTCGTTTAGCTCTGTGACCTCACTCCCATTCCTGTTAACTCCTTAGTTGTCCCCCGCAACTATTTGGAATCCCAGACCTGTAGATCCTCCCCTTAGGCTGGGGGGAGGTCCTTTAGCAATGGGCGGGTGGTAGCTTCCGCCCACCCACTGCCAAAGGACCTCCCCCCAGCCTAAGGGAAACCTGCCCATTTTCTGGATCCCAACAGGACTACTCTGCTGTACCCAACTGGCCTGGGTCTATCACAATATATTTAAATGGAACATATTTTCATTAAGTCTGTGATCCTTAATAACACCAATCCACAGCAAATATGGTAGCTTGCTGTACGTTATTCAGTCTGTCACACGCTGTATAATCTTGGTGTTTTCTACACATCTGAATTCTTAAGGTAAGGTGATGAAAATTGGACAGATTCCTGAGGCGGGTGAATCTTGGTGGGATGTATTAGAGATTAGGCAAACCCTGGGTGGTTTGGATGCAGATCTAATTTTATTAAAACCTACAAAGTCCAAATGTGGAGTAGTGATGGGGCCAGTTTGGATAAATGATTCCAGTTTTCGTCCATCACTAGATATATTTGTTGTATTCCTTTTTATTTCACTCAAGCATTCCATTTTTAAAAGTATTTCATTATTTGAAAATCTTTTATTTTTAATATGCACTTTAATAACACATCAAAATATATTTCAAAATATTGTGATACATAGTTATTTTCATTACCAACATCTGTCCTACAGATAATTCCCAAAGTCATTTTATTATCCTTAAATATCCAAAACAAAAAAATAGAGAGACGTTCAAAAAAGATAGAGAAGAATGACTAATCCCCATACCATACATTACTCTGCTAATCCTGCACCCAGCTGCTTCTTTTCCTTGCCTTCCAAGGCTGATCTCTTGTCAGATGTGGGCAGCTCCCACTCTCACAACTAAACTGTATTTGTTCAGCTCTGTATAACTTAGATTATAAACTCTTCAGTGCAGGAATGAGGAGCAGATTCTTAGCTGGTGTAAATTGTCAAAAAAATGATCCCAGTGATTATTGGACCACCTGGAGAGATCCCTAAGGGTACGAATGACAGCTCAGGAACACATTAGGAATCATAGATTCGTAGGACAGGAAGGGACCTCGAGAGGTCATCTAGTCCAGTCCCCTGCACTCCAGTTACCCTGACAGGTGTTTGTCTAACCTACTCTTAAAAATCTCCAATGATGGAGATTCCACAACCTCCCTGGGCTTACCCACCCTGACAGTTAAGAATTTTTTTCTTAATGTCCAACCTAAACCTCCCTTGCTGCAATTTAAACTCATTGCTTCTTGTCCTTTCCTCAGAGGTTAAGGGGGAACAATTTTTCTCCCTCCTCCTTGTAACAGCCTTTTACGTATTTGAAAACTGTTATCATGTCTTCTCTTCTCCAGACTAAACAAACCCAATTTTTTCAATCTTCCCTCATAGGTCATGTTTTCGAGACCTTTAATCATTTTTGTCACTCTTCTCTGGACTCTCTCCAATTTGTCCACATCTTTCCTGAAATGTGGCATCTAGAACTGGACACAATAATCCAGTTTAGGCCTAATCAGTGTGGAGTAAAGCAGAAGAATTGCTTCTTGTGTCTTTCTTACAACACTCCTGCTAGTACATCGTAGGCAGTCATTTCCCATTTTGTATGTGTGCCACTGGTTCTTCCTTCCTCAGTGGAATATTTTGCATTTGTTCTTATTGAATTGCATCCTATTTACTTCAGACCATTTCCCCAGTTTGTCCAGATCATTTTGAATTTTAATCCTATCCTCCAATGCACTTGCAATCCCTCCCAGTTTAGTATTGTCTGCAAACTTTATAAGTGTACTCTCTATGCCATTATCTAAATTATTGATGAAGATATTGAACAGAACCGGACCCAGAACAGATTCCTGGGGGTCCCCTTTCCATATGCCCTTCCAGCTTGACTGTGAATCACTGATAACTACTCTTTGGGAACGGTTTTCCAACCAGTTTTGTACCCATCTTATAGTAGCTCCACATAGGTTGTATTTCCCTAGTTTGCTTATGAGAGGGTCGTGCGAGATAGTATCAAAAGCCTTTCTCAAGTCAAGATATACTGCATCTATCCCCTCTTCCCCTCTATCCACAAGACTTGTTACCGTGTCAAAGAAAGCTATTAGGTTGGTTTGACATGATTTGTTATTGCCAAATCCACGCTGACTGTTACTTATCACCTTATTATCTTCTAGGTGTGTGCAAATTGATTAATTATTTGCTCCATTATCTTTCCAGGTACTGAAGTTAAGTTGACTGGTCTGTAATTTCCCAGGTTGTCCTTATTTCCCTTTTTATAGATGGGTGCTATATTTGCGCTTTTTCAGTCATAGTTCCATGAACTTCAAGTGAACTATAACAATTTACACATCTGCCCCATGCCTTCCCACATGTTTTTTTACAGAGCTGTGAATAACTATAGTGCTATAGAAATAATAACACAAGTAAATATGGCAGTTAGATTTATACAGGAGTATTTGTTTTGGGTCACATCTAATCCCAGCTCCCACCCTGAGTATGTAGTTTAGACACAGGGGAGATATACAGGGGAAGGAAGAGAGATGAATATTTTCCCCAGGATAACCATTCCATGGATCCTGCTCTAGCATAATGGTTAGAATGGGATTGGAAGGACTGGAGGATCTACACAGCCACTGCCAACTTCTCTGTCCCCTGAGAAGAAGCTTTTATCTACAGGTTTTTCTACAGTATAACTAGTCTTCATGTTCTGTATTGTTCCAGGTGACTGGTATGAGCAGCTTTATCCCCTCATAATTACACTCAAAGACTGCATGGGAGAGGTGGTGACCAGGGCAAAGCAATCAATGACTTTTGTTCTACTTCAGGAACTTGCATGTGGCTTGCCACAGCGTTTAATGCTGACCCTACGAAGAGACATCGTCTTTAGTCAAGCAGTAGGTGCTTCTTGAGTCACTGTTTTTCTCTCTTGATTACTGTTTATTTTCATTATTGTAATTAATCATGGCATACGTGCAGGTATTCGCCATTTCTTTTAATGCAACACAACTTCTTCATTTGTTTTAATTCATTCACTTTAATTTTCTGTACTATGATGAGCAATTAATTGATTTAGGTTGGGTTTGACTCTTAGATTGGGTTTGCAAAGGAGCCTAAGGGACTTAAATGAATAAATGTCATTTAATTTAAATAGGAGTTGGGTGCCTAATTACCTAGGTTCCTTGGAAAACCCCAACCTTAAATATTAATAGACTTAAGGGCATCTTTCTGATCTCGGTTACAGCAGTGTAAATCAGAAGTAACCCCACCTGAAGTCAATGAAGTTTCATGGGTGTAAAACCAATTTAAGGTCAGAATGAGATCCATATATTTTATGTATTTTACCCTACAAAATACCATAGTATACAATTGAGCTGATATATATTCACCAAACAGTAATTTCCATCTTGTTCTTCAGTCACCAAAGTACAACCTGTATCCTGTAGAAAAATAGCAAACATAGTTATAAAACTCTTGTATTACACTAATTAATCTGTTCTTTCCCACAAAATTTCTTCCATCATATTTTTTTTTAAGCTTGCTGGATTGGTCTGTGGGTTTATAATCAAATTGCACACAAGTTTACGTGATCAAGGCTTCCTACAGCAGCTTCATACTGTTGGGTTAATTGTTCAATATGAAGGACTTCTCAGCACGTATAGTAAGTATTGCCCTGGAACAACATTGCTTAGTCTTTTTTACAAGCCAAGAAGTTCACCCAGTAGGTTCTTATTTTAACTTTTATTCAGTAATTTGGCTTATTGAATCAACAAATATTACCCTAATACAAAACAGCAGGCTTCCATACAATAGCACGGTTAAAGCCAATGATATAGTACTATATGTCAATTCAACATAATAAAGTATAGTAATCTGCTTTTGTTCAGTTTCTTTTGAAAACACACATTCTAATTATTCCATGTGGAGTGCTGAATTGTAATGTCATTAATACAAGAGACTGGTTTCCACAATACAACTATTGTGACTTTTATATTTGAAAAATACTGTAAACTATACTAGTACAAGTGTTTAGCCTGACCCAAATAATTGGTTTATACAACTAACCCAGATACCCAGTTTAAATAGCTACTAAATCTATAATCTACTGCCAGTCAGTATTTCTGGAAATTACATGTCAGTCTTTGTGATGTGAAGATAGCACTAAGCTATTTAAATTCCCAACTGCTTCATAGATGCTTTGACGCAATACACCACAGCTTACTAGTTCACCTTAGAACACAGCTTTGCTTAACACACAGTACTTAGATTTGTTTATAGAGAAAGCAAGTACAGGTTTATTTAACAAAGGATAGCAGATTCATTTGATAGCAAACAGAAATGTTGGAAACAAAGGATTACTTATGAAACAAAATTGTAACTTGCTTTCTATAGCCTAAACTTAACAAACAAGTTGTTCTCCTATATAAAAAAGTTTCTCACCCAAAGTTCTTTTCAGTGATTTCAGCCAAGCCTGACTGAGATCCCTTTTTCATGAAGCAAACCCACTGTCAGTTTATTTCCTTGGTGAAGGATGCCAGAGTGTCTTTTTTCACCACTAGATAACCAGACCATACCTTTGATTTTCAACTGAAAATAGGATAACCCCTTCCCCCCTCACACCCCACTGTTTACCTCTTCCTGTTAATTTTATTTTGAAGTCCCCCGCAAGCTCTTCATTAGCATTTCACTTCGTATGCTGATAAACTTCTACCACAAGACACTCAATACACAATAGTTAGCTAGGGAGATAAGTGTCTCCCACCTCCTGTATGGAGAAGTTTTTCTTAAGGCATTCTACCTTTGAGAGACTTCCCTTTAACTACAAGGTCTTAAGAACATAATTTCCCATGTTTATACACACACACACACACACACACGTCTTTTTATATATTATCTGCACATACATTTCATAATGATTATGATGACCAGGGTGAAACCTTTCAGTAGAGACCTTACATGACCCCTTTTGGTGAACCCTGTAACCCTACATACCTGTAACCCTGCCAGTTGGCACCAAGAGGTTTCTGAATCACAGATGCCAACACTGATAGCTATTAAGTGGGACATTTGGAGGGAAAAATTGCAACACACTTTGAAATGCACTGAAAAGAATGGAACAGGAGTACTTGTGGCACCTTAGAGACTAACAAATTTGTTAGTCTCTAAGGTGCCACAAGTACTCCTGTTCTTTTTGCGGATACAGACTAACACGGCTGCTACTCTGAAACCTGAAAAGAATGGATTTTTTTAAGTCAGGCCGAGTTGTTTTTTCTGAAAATAGTGACTATCCCACTTAAGTAGGGACAGTTGGTATCTATGCAGCCCTTCGCCAGTCCCAAAATCAAGTTTTATTGTTTGTCCCCCACTATAAGACTACCTCAGTATAAGGGGCTCTCTGGCTCAAGTCTGTCAGAGGTCCACCCATTATAATACTCAAAATCTTTGCCCTCCAAGAGCAGAACAGTCTTTAAAGGGCTTGTCAATATGGGCAAAATTTTGAAACCTGGCTGTCCTAAAGTTTTGTCCCTTGAATGTAATGACCTGATTTTCAGAAGTATCCAACACCCACAAGCACTGGTAAGGTCATTGGGGGCAGAAAGTTCTCAACTATTTTTATTTAGATGCCTTAAATGTGAATTTAGTAGAGTAATTTTGGTCGCTCCGGTTTGAAATGTATTACACTTATCGTACTAGAACCCTTTCTGGTATAGACACTAGCTAGTCAGTCATATCTGCATCTGTTAACATCTTTTGTAATTTTTCTGTACAGGTGAGGAAATTGGGATGCTAGAAGATATGGCTGTGGGCATTTCAGATTTACAGAAAGTAACGTTTAAAATAATTGAAGCCAAATCTAATGACTTCTTGCCTGTAATAACTGGAAGGCGGTAAGTATTGTCCATTTCCTGAAGCACAAGCCCAGAGACGTGTAGCTTTAACTTGTGCCAGTAAAATCAAGTGGAAACTCAATGTTTTTCTTATTGCTTGTGTTTCCTTATGTGGGAAATGCTATAAATGTGACTTGTCTGAAGGGTGAATAGATGGCCTGTAAAGGTAGTAATGTCCTGAAGAGCCTGTAAAGGTGGTAATGCTTTGGACTTTCTAGTGCCTTCAGCTGAGGATCTCAAAGTTACAAATATTAATACTTATTAATTCTCACAGTGTCCCTGTGAATTGTGTACTTGTTGTTATCCATTTTTATATACGGGGAAATTGAAGCACACAGGGCCAAAATTTTCAAAAGTGGCCTCTAAGTTTGGTTGTCTCAACGCAGGGGCCCAGCTTGAAACACGGGAGGCCTTTTCTTCAGGGGTGCTGAGCACTCAGTTTCCATTCACTTCTGTGGAGATGTGGCGCTGCATCTCTGAAGATCTGACCTGAAATGTCCCTAAACTGGGAACCCAAAATTAAGATGATCCAAAATTCTGAAAAATTGAACCTACATGATTTGCCTAAGATCATACAGGACATTTGGGGCAGAGCTGGATGTAAAAAACAGATATTTTTAATCCCTACCTGTGCTTTAAATACTAATATACTTTGCTTCTCAAAGAAGTAGTACTGAAATTTAGTACATAAATTGAATACAGAAATAGTGTCTGTGACATACGGGGATTGAAAAGGATAGCTTGCAAGTGATGAACTTTTTTTTCTTTGTTATTATCCTAGTCTAAAACTTCAAATGTTTTTACCTGTGCAGGAATTATTTCCTTAATAGTGCTATAATTCTTAAGATGACAATAAATTAAATTCAGCTAAAAGCAGCAACTTTTTAGAAAAGATGTATTGCCACTGTTGGGGGAAGGAGGGGGTATTCACCACTATTTTTCTTTATTATTCCTGACAATTCATTCTCATGCTGTGCACTTTCCGAAAAGGGATTGAAATAAATATCCAGGAAGGTCAGAGCATGATGGGAAAACATCAGGAATAATTAAGAAAAATTATGGTATATAAAGTAGACCCTGAACAGAAGAAATATGTCCTTTGTAAACATTCCCATCAAAAGTCTTGAAAAATCCAACAGCCACTGTTACTGGCTTGGTGCCATTACTGCAGCTGATTGAATCGTCATGCTAGGAGGTCCAGGTTTTGAAATAGACATGGGCTTTAAGATGCTTGAGGCATTATGGATTGATAGAACAGATAGTTGTCAGGAAGAGGACTTACTGGCTATCATGACTATACTATACTTACTGGTGGGTGAGTCACTGAATGAAATTGGTGGTATCAGTTTATTAAAAGGAAGCTTTATCTCTGCTGAGCCCCATTCCTGTTAGAGATGTGATGACACAGTACTGATCAGGGGCACAGGAGGTTAAATGTAAAGAGCAAAAGTAGAGTCAAAATCTACCAATTTTCTGATCACTATAACAAAAAAAAATATTTTCTGACAATAACTTTTGTCCTTTTTTGGGGTGATCTTATATAATAGAGGTCTCTAAAATGAAACTTGCAGGGAAAATGCAGAGCGGCTAGACAGAAAATTCATTTACCTCTTTTTGTTATAAAGTTTGCAAAGCCAGAGTATTATCTGTAATTTGCTTTGCAGGGAAATGCTTAGGTCCTCAATTTTATGTATGAAAATAAGTCAATCCAAACATCACAGCTCTAATGTGTGCTGCAGCCCCGAAACATCTTTCAGTAAACAATGTTCAGTTTTACATTCTTAAAGGGTTGCTATAAACAAAAGTAGTAAAAAAAAAAGTGTTTTTAAGAATTCTTTGGCATTTTTTTATGATATACATGAACTTTGAGGCATGACAGGGTAGTTTATTATAAAAACTTTCAACTAATGTTTTTTATCATCGTTGCATGGTTAAGGTGCAAGGCAAGTAAAGTTAAGTAGATAATCCCAAAATTTAAATCATTAATACCTAAATGTGCTGTTGTGATTTATTGTTATTCTCTTAAATAATCTAGTTTTTCAGTTGCAAGAGACGGTATTAAATGCTAAAATTTTGTAATGATTTTTAGGAACACAGGACTGGAAGTGACCTCCTGGGTCATTAAATCTAGTCCCCTGCTATCACAGGCAACCCCGCACATAATGCCGTACATAAGTTTATCAAGCTCTATCTTAAAACTAGTTAGGAAAAGTAGGGGCAAACAACCTATGGAAGGCTGTTCCAGAACTTCATTCCTCTGATGGTTAGAAACCTAATTTCAAAGCTAAATTTATTCATGGCCAGTTTATACACACTTGTTCTCTTGCCAAAATTGTCCTTTAATTTTTATGCTAAGCCTTCCATTCGCTGGGAAATGTAGTTGTATAACCCAAATCAAATCCGCTAAGCCTGTCTACATTGAATCCAGCCATCAAGGAAAAATAAATTACATGGCAAACAAAAATTTGTTTTGTTACTATGCCTTATTTAAATCAAACCGGTAATGCAATAGTAAATTAGTCTCAAATGAGTGCTTTGGATTACAATGATTGTTGTCTTCTTGCCTGACTTCAGTGTTGCTCTTGGGCCGTGAAGATATCCTATTATCCCAGCTCAATAGTATTTCTCAAAATAATTTGAAAGGCAGCTTTTGTCATTGTTGCAATTTAATGTCAATTGAAAAAGTCACACAAGATGGTACCACTGTGGAGATTCTGTCCCAAGCACACAAAAAACAAAAACAAAAAACACCACATGTACAACACCACTGTTTTCAATTTGTCATATCTAAAGGCGATATCTTACAATGATTTTTTTATAGCCTAAAGACATAGTGATTCTTGGGTGTGAAATGCAGTGATTATGATAGTCCTCTGGACTTGATGTTTAGCAGCACATATTTTTAAAATTAGACCAAATCTACATTTCTTTTCAATCTCATGCAAGCATACCATCATACCATATTAGTACTACAATAGCATTTGACAGTCAAGATTCAGCAATTAGGAATTCCAACCCGCAGGCCTGGGATGAGTGGCACTATGCAGAGGTCATCTGAAAAGAGTTTTCTGTACAAGCAGAAACCTCATAAACTCTGTACTGCTTTAAACTAGGGAATTAAATACAGAAAACATAAATTAGTCTTATCTGGGGCATAGAGACTTTTTTGCTTTGAGACTTGCATAACTAGTCCACAGCTAATGATACTGCTCATGAGAGTGCCTACTTTATAGAGCATTTACTGCTTAACAATACCAGATTTGCACTAGTGCTAACTGAGCTAGGGCATGTGTCACACCCCTGGCTGAGTCCCTCCTGTGTGTAGTCACTAGTCTGCTTTACTGGACCCGACCTTCGGATCCTGTATGCTTCTAAGCACACCAGATCTGGACAGTGTCTCTAGCTCTGGCCTCTCAGACACACTCCCAGAGTGTAGATTCCCTGTCTGACAGCCCATTGGATGGTGGGGCACCATGGTCCAGCTGCCCAGACTTCCAAGACCCCTTCCAAGTTTCCCTCGTAGCTTATGCGTGCTCTCTCCAGAGCTCCACCCATGTGGGCATACCAGATTATAGTTTAACTCTTCTGGGACCGCATGACATGTAAGGAACACAGAGGCTTTACAAAGGAACTTCTTAAACACACCCACACATTACTGTTAAACAGTTCAAGGATATAAGAGCTATGAAAAAACAACAAACCCGTGTATGCTCTCCCCACTGAGTCTACGCTAACCCCTTCTGAGAGTCCTTAGGCTCTGTCCCTGTGTGAGGTGGGTAAGTCCCTCCTTGCCTTCTTCCTCTTGACATGCTCTCTGCTTCCTGGCAGTGTTTGGTTTCAGTCCCCTCTGGCTGGCTTGACAGCCTTCATTGAGTAATTAAAGTCCCAGCCCTCTGGAGAGAAACTGGAAGAACCAGCTTCCTTTAACTTAGTCCCTCTGTTTATCAAACTCATTGTTCTCAGAGGGGAGAGGCACCTTTGTTGTTTTTCTCATTCAGGTTCAGACCCTAGGCACAAGCCCCACTTCAACAAGATGATGATGCAATCCAACATGATGGTTACAGTATACAAGGAAAGACACAATCAAGGTTATACTCAAAATAGAAGCTGAAACATGGTTTTCACAAAATCAGACGGGGGACACAGATATAACACCCAAACTGTCACATCATGTCACTTCTAAAACACCAGAATTCATATTTGTGTAATGAACCATCCTGTACTTTTAAACTGTATTTTCATAGTGCCACTTTTGCTTCAGAGGATGCTTTCTATCCAAGGAGTGAAGTCCTGGCCCACTGAACTCAATGCAGATTTTGCCATTGACTGCAGTGGGGCCAGGATTTCACCCAGGGTTTTCACTGGGTACAAGAAATTATGCAAATAGTATTAGAGTGTACTTCAGGTCAATTCAAGGGTAAACCAAATGAAAATGGTGGTGTAGCTCAGCATACAACATTTTAAGATTTGAAGTACCTTCATTAATATTTCTATACCAAGTGATAATGAGACAAAAGGCTTTCCTTAATTTTTCTACTGCCCTCACTTTTTTAATCCTTTTTTTCCACTTCAGTGAAGAAGTCATTATCAAGACCTAGTGTATAATTATATTACTGATCCTATTTCCTTATAGATTTGCTATGGTTTCAAAACAAAAATAAATAAAAAAGACTTTAAATGAAGGTTTAACACAATTAACAGGAGGGGAAAACTTTGATTTCTAAGTGTAAACATTCTTTGCTGTGGGACCTAGGAGGGTGCTAGTTTAGATTGAACAGCTAGATATTCTCATCTCTTATACTTCCTTTTATTTTCCTAGTGAACATTATGTAATAGAGGTCAAGCTTCCAGCAAAGATGTTTGAGTTGCTGCCACAAGAGATCAAAGAAGGAAAGCAGCTGCATGTGTACCCAGTCCTCTTTAATGTTGGAATCAATGAACAGCAAACACTTGCAGAGAGGTAAGGCAGCACCTTTAGAAAGATACATGTTTCAGTTTCTGCTTCTGGATGTTGTGCTAGTCCAGATGGTCTCTCACAGAATTACATAGAAATCTTGCTTATTACTTGCCCTTGGGCCAATTCGGATTGTTTTGGTACATATTAGAAAAATAAATCACATTAAGGGAGATAATCGGATGGTATGAACTAAAACAAACAGTGCAAAAAGTCAGGAAAAGATATGTGATAAGTATATCAATCTATTTTCTACAGTTAAAGCCTGATTTGTTCTTTAATACACACACTTATCTTTAATTCACACTGACAGAAGCAATGTATTCTCAAAGAGCAGATATTGGCCCTTTGAAACATCTCTTCGAAAATCCTAAAACCACTTAATTTGTTATCATAGCATGTGAAGCTGAAATGTTGGGCAGGTAACAGGCATTGGGAGATGCAAACTTTCCTCACATTTTTTATATTGATAGTATGGGGCTCATGAATAGAGGTAATAGATAATAAAGTAATAATGGGTTATGTTATTAATAGTCTTATAATGGCAGGAATGGTGGTGGTATATTTTCTTAAACTTTTAATGTATAAATATGCCTGCACAGCCTAGCCTAGCTACAGCCTCAAGACAGTTCTGTATATCAAGCTAGTCAGCCTATAGTACAGTTCTTGTCAAAGATTCACCAAACTATTCACCTGCTTCCTAGGTGAAGGACAGCTATAGGTACTGTTAAATAATATACGTGACTACAAGGAAGAGCCTCCAGAGTTATATGCTGCTAGTATTACTAGGTGCACTGTGCAATTAGACAAAACATATTTTTATTTATTATTTGTATTATCATTGTGCGTAGTGCTCTAGTCATGGACGAGGATTCCAATGTGCTGTACAAACACAAAACAAAAGATGGGCCATGCCCCAAAGAGTTTACAATCTAAGATTATGTCTGCACTGGGAGCTGGAGGTCTATTTTCCAGCTCAAGGAGACATACCCGCGCTAGCTTTGACTGAGCTGGCATGCTAAAAATAAAGTGTAACCTCAGCAGCAGGAGGGGCTGACGATAAGACAAGAGACGACAGATGGGTGGATAGATAGGGGAGTACAAGGAAACAATGAGATACCAGTGGCCTAATCTTTGTCAAGTTTTGTGTAGGCATCAAGGCAAAGGAGAGTTTTAAGGATTAGAAGGAGAATAATGAGGTAGCATTGTGGGTGTTTATGGGGAGCAGCCTCCCAAGTGTGAGGGACAACGTGGGAGAAGGCATGAAGGGACTTGTTTGAGAAGTTTAACGAGTTGGTGATGGAGGCTGGCATGGGCCAATCAGAGGCAGGAGTTGATATCCCAGTAGTGAATGAGAGATGATAGGTAGTGTGGGAATAGGCTGTGAACAGCCTTAAAAGTGAAGACAAGTAGCTTATGTTTGATGCAGTAGAGAAAGGGAAGCCAGTGGAGGGAGGCAAAGAAAGAGGTGACATGGTCAAAGTGACAGGCTCAGAAAATTACATGTGCAGCAGCATTCGGAATGGATATGAGCAGGGCAAGATTGTATTTGACAAGGCCAGAGACAAGGTTATTGCAGTAATCGAGATGTGATATGAGAGCGTGGAAGAGAGTTTTAGCTATGTGGATGGATATGAAAGGCCGGATTTTAGAGATGTTAAACAGAAAGAATCAGCAAGATTTAGATACAGCCTGGATGTGAGGATTTAGAGAGAGGGCTGAGTTGAAGATGATACCCAGATTATGGGCGTGAGTGACAGGGAGGATGGTGCTGTTGTCCACAGTGACCAATGAACTGCTCTTTTCTGTATGCACATACAAAAGAAAATCATACCATAAAACTGAAAAATTAAGAAAACATGTCTGTCAAGCAAATCAAATTGGATTAATCTATGGAGAAATAACTGTTTTGCCATTTCAGGTATAAACATAAAACTTTGAGTTCACAATATTATCTGACTTCACTGGACTCCCTTGAATTTTAGAGATTCACGTTTGTACTAGAGAAATGAAATTAAGATTGGAAACACTGAATGTGTTTTTCAGTAAAAGTTTATCTATAAGTATTGGGGAGGGGAGAGAAATAATCATCATAATAGGAAACATTAATAACAATAGAAATCATCTTTTGATTATTAATGTTCTACTAGTAAATGTTATTTCAATAGAACTGAATATCTCCAGTTTCAATGAGCCATAGCTGGGAATATATTTGATTAAGAGTAACACTGAGACACTGGGAAAATCATAGGCAAGCTTCAACAGAAGAGCAGATATAGTTAATATCTACTTTGGTTGCATTATAAGAAATCATGCATATAACATACAGAAATCATGACAGAATGTAAAAATACAGCATTACATTTAGGAGTGATGTACATAGATCATCTTTTCCCCACTCTGTATCACACAACAGCTAAAGAATTTAGACCCAAATTCTGCATGTGCATCTGCATTCACACACGCACCTTCCATAGTACAGTTCAGCTGGAACAGATGTGGACAGTGCAAAGGGGCAGAGGAAGGGTGATGGCATGGTAATTTATCCATGACAATGTAGCTAGGCTAGCCAAACTGCCTATCTAAGATTACCCCCCCTCTCCTTCACAGCACCTAGATACTGTGGTGATGTACACTTCAGAAATATTTATATGATAAATAGATTAAATAGGGCACAGTAGTGGCTGAAGCTACTGCAGCCAGTGGATGCAATAGTGGTTGTGGAACAACCATGTGATGTTATTTACTTACCTGGATGGTTATCTGGGGTTATCTGAACTCAAAGCTATGGTAACTAGTCTCTGTTTTCCAGGCACTGTCAGGAGATAAATCAGTGAGGGGACACAGCACCTCCGTCTGAGAAATGATTGTTTTACACAAGAGTGCTTTCACCCAAAAATCTATGTTTTTATTGAATACAAAGAACACTTCAAAATTAGCAATACTCTAGTTACCCAAAATATAGTTACCTGAAGTCTGAGGTGGTGTCAAGTGACAGCAGCAGGTTTCCAGTGGCTAGCCTTTCTCCTAGCTGCTGTGGAGATTGTCAGTGTCTTCTTGCTCATAGAAAATCCAAACTTCTCCAAAATACACTTTCTAGCTAATCTTTTTTATAAATAATTCAAAACAAAGCATAACTCCAAATAAGTTATAATTGGCTGATTGTTTCCCTAGCAACAGCAAAGAACTCATAATTTCTACTTATCGGTAAAGCAACTCTAGCAAGAAACATACAGACACAGGCACCCAGACTAAGGTCAGCTATCCTTGTTAGTAACACTGCGGATGCGCAGATGTTTTTGTCTGCCTAAGCAAGGCCAAATTCTTTCTCACTACGTGGTGTCCTCGCTTCCAGCTTATGGTGGCGAAGCACAAGATATCTGTGGGTTATGTCAAGTCCAGGTCTCTCGTAACAGGATCTTTGTACCACACTTATCACCATAATACTTGAGCACCTTCTGCAGACTATCACAACACAATAAAGACCTTCTGATTTCCTCTCTTCTTCCTGGTGGATAACTGGAATTTTGTCTTCCTTTTCTTCCACTTCTTCATCTCCCTGTCTCTCTCTCTCCCCTCTCCATGTTCTTCCTGCTCTCATTGCCCCTCCCTTGTTCTTCCGTTGTCTTTTCCTTTTTGCTTTGGTGTTTATGGGAAAGCTGGACTTGAAGAAGTGAGGTTACATGTCACTCTGGAGGCAGTGATCTCTGAAGCTAGTCTCAGCTCTCCAAAAGAGTGTTCCATAGTTTTGAGCCTGCTGCCAAGAACACTGTCTTCACTCTCAGCATTTCACCCTAGAGCAGGGGTCGGCAACCTTTCAGAAGTGGTGTGCCGAGTCTTCATTTATTCACTCTAATTTAAGGTTTCGCGTGCCAGTAATACATTTTAACATTTTTAGAAGATCTCTTTCTATAAGACTATAATATATAACTAAACTATTGTTGTATGTAAAGTAAATAAGGTTTTTAAAAATGTTTAAGAAATTTCATTTAAAATTAAATTAAAATGCAGAGCCCCTGGAGCGGTGGGCCAGGACCCAGGCAGTGTGAGTGCCACTGAAAATCAGCTTGCGTGCCGCCTTCGGCACGCGTGCCATAGGTTGCCTACCCCTGCCCTAGAGTGTGGACAGTAGCTTCTGTGAAACCTAATTGTCATGGAAAATCATAGTCTTAGAGAGAATTCTCTTAGGTAGCATGGGCCAATGCCATGAAGAGCCTTAGAGATGAGAACAGACATCCTGAATTTGACTGGGTGTCCTGTGAGGAGTCAGACTAGTGAGCATTTGGGTGATACATTCCCAGCAACCTCTGTTGCTGAAAAAATGAGCTGCAGCATAGTAGAACAACTGAAGCCTTTTTAAAGTGTGCGCGCTTTAGCTTCACCTAAATGCAGCCACAGTAATCCAGCCTGGAGGTCACAAAGGTGTGGGTCACAGTGGTTAGGCCACTATCTAACAGCAAAGGACATAGCTTACTGGCTAGTTGCTGGTGCAAGAAGGAATCCCTGAAAGCTGAATCTAACTGTTCAGGAGCAAGGAGAGGAGTCCAGAAGGATCCAAGGATATGAACCTTGATTATTTGCAGCAGACAATCTCAGTAGAGGGTGCTGCTATGGTAGTGGCTAGGTGTTCAAAATGTTTTCCTGCTGACATCACCTCCATCTTGCCTGAGTTCAGTTTCAGCTGCTGACTTCTGCTGAAGCAAAGGCATTATTAGCATCAAAAGTGAATGAGATGTAAAAGTTGGTGATGTCTGTACAAAAGCAGGCTGGCATTCAGACTTCCACAGCAAATCCTGGCACAAAGCCCATTTACTCTGGCTGTCTACAGGGAAGCAGGATTTGGGACTTAATGAATAGTCATGAGATGAAAGTAAGCAGGGATTTTTGTCTGTTAGCTTCTGTTTTTTGGAAGGATGTTCAGGAGTGGTTTAAACTACTATTTGTTAATGGTATAATGTATATTTGAGGTTAGTTATTTTCTGTTGTATAAATCTATTAAAACAAATATTAGGAGAAAAAACAATTCTCTATTTACATAAGGAAGCCATAGCTGAAGCTGAGTTAGGTATGTATTTTGTTTCTTGGTTTTAGAGAAGGGGGTGAAGTGGGGTGTGTGTTGTTTATAGAATTTGTTTTATTTTTATTTCCAACATTGTCCTTTGCCGTTTTAGGTTTGGAGATACCACTTTGCAAGAAAGTGTTAACCAGGAAAATTTTGAACTTCTTAAAGAATATTACAAATTGTTTACTGAAAAAATGCCTCCTGATTGTAAGTATAAAATTAATAATGTAGCATTCAAACTGATTTTAATAAGAGTTACAGGTGATAGACCACGGCAAATTGTAATGCTGAAACTTTAAAAGTGTTAGTATGCAGCTTCTTTACGTCTAGCCCTCAATCCTGCAGCTTATTCCAAGTAGGTGGACCCCTGTGACTACATGGGGCACCTCTGAAGTCAATAGGGGTCCATCCGCATGGCACAAGTTGCAGGATCCAGGTCATAGTAGAAAGGTGAAACAGTAACAATGGAGTAAATTATCATGTATTGCATATTTAACAACATAATATTTATAGTAACATAAGTAGAGGTAACCTATGGTATTCATGCACAGATACCCGTCAGAAGTTTGAGTCAATTAGCTCCAGTTATTCACTTAACTTTTTATTCATTTCTGAATACTTAACAAGATGTACAAAACTAATGAGTGAATTGCAGCTATGGACCCTATCAATGGGTCCTATTGTAATGTCCAATTACGTTAATGGAAAGATTTTCATTGACTTCAATGGACATTGGATTAGCCCCTGTATGTAAATAGAATACTGTTTTATTACTTTAATTGTTGAACTCAAACACTGAAAAGACCCATTAGGTCATCTAGTCCTGCCAAGGCAGGGTTATGTTCTCACGTGCTTTGTCTAATGTATCTACTTTTAAATAACTTCAGCAATGGGGCTTCCACCACATCCTTGGGAAATTATTCCACAATCTAAAGATCTCACCATTAGGAGATTGTGTTTTTTTTTTAGTGATAGTCACCCTACATTTTTCTTTGCTCAATTTCAAAACATTACTTTCAGACACTTGAACCATCCTCAATAATTTGTTTCTCTTCTTTCTTGTGTCTATATAATCCTAAAATATGTTTCTATTTCATCTGACTCGTCTAGTGTGATTTGGGTCACAAGGATCAGGGCTTAGTTTAGGATCTGTCATTTATGTGTGGCTTTTTCTTTTTCTTTGTGATGCAGACCTTATCATGATAATCCCTACTTTTTGTCATCTCAAGATTGATCAGGTCACTTACCATCTCTGTGTCTCTCTTTTTTAATCTGTAAAATGTGGGTGGCCATGTTTATCCACCTTTGTAAAGGGCTTTGAGATCTGTAGATGAAAAGTGTAAGTGTGTATTGTTATTATGATGTGTCTATTCCTTATAAATTTCTGCTGCTGACTACAGCAGCCTCTGGGCTAATAAATATTTCTTGCAGGAAGCATATAACACCTTTATTCTGTGATCTGCTTCTATTTTGTGTCCCGGAGTAATTTAAGGTGTTATTTTTAACATATAGGGCATAAAATGGGTTGGGTCCCGGTTACTCCAAAATTGCCTCTTACTGCATTTGGGATTGGCAGAGGCAGGTGGTATAACTCTCATGGTTTCACTGCCAGGGGCTGAAGGCAAGGGGATTTCAATGAAGAGTCATCGAATAGTGGAATTTGCTTTCTGCCTTGATTAGTCAATTTTATTCTGTTGACCTTCAAGGCGATCTGCAAGGCTGAAGTGTTCTCTGGCTTTTTTTCTAGGGGGCAGGGTGAGTATCAGGGTGAGATGATGGTAGGTGTCAGCTCTGTAGGGAAGATGGTAGGATTTGGAGAGTTTATTATTCTTTCTGGACACAGAACTAATTCATTTTGTTGCTTTATATTATTTGTCCACGCACTGAGAGTATGACCTAATGTAGAAGACTTCTATTTCATTTGATTACCGCTGAACAAAAGCAGCTTCTAAGCGATATATATATATATATATATATACACGATTATTAATATGTATATTTATACTACATGTGCAGTGGTGATATTCATGTGATAAATTGCAGAGCAATGTGGTAAACAGATAATCATAAGAGTCAGTCCCCAAGAAGCTTGCAATCTAAACAAAGTTATTTTTTGTTGTTTTCCTCTCTAAGCCTATACAGTTTTCAGTACTAAAATGTTCTGCCTTTCCATTAAAGGATATAGTAAATAGTACCAAAACCATGTTTTTACAACTCTCTCGCTTTAAAAACATCTTTTTTTCTGAAAAAGGAGATAGTTGGAACACAATATGATGTGGTATGATATAAAAGTTTTATCACTTTTTCACCACATTAAAGTTCAAGCTTCTTGTCGTCATCTTCAAGGGCCTTCACGTATCTGCCTATCTCTACTTATCTTCTCACATCTCTTGTCACATTGCCCTATGCTCTACCAGCCTACACATGTCTGTGATGGTGTATATGAACCCTATGCTTCAACAGCCACAAAAAACGCTAATGACAGAGCAATTATTCCGCCTCTGTGGCTAATTAATTGACTAGCAACAGCCTGGAAAAAAAGGCCAAAGCTCAGGCAGAAGTGGTGGCAACCAAAGAGGCTGGGAATTACCTTACAGAGGCTTCTCAGCACAAGTCTGACAAAGAGACACCTACGGAACAGACCTAGAAACCCCGTAGGGAGTGGGTTGAAACTTCCTAAGGCCCATGTTGCCAGGCACTTGAGAAGAATTCAGCACAGGGATTAAGGAGTAACCTTTATAGGCTTGGAAGGCCATGAGAATGGGGTCTGAAAGAATGAGCATACCCTTAATAGTCTCTTAGTTTAGAGAGCAGGGAGCTGAGCTCCCTCACAACACCACTTCTTGCCTCTCCTACAACCCTCCACATGTTTTCTTTCATGCCATCCCTTACACATGGAACGTACTCCCTGATGTGGCCACTACCATGTCCTGCTTCAAATGTCTCAAGACTCAATTCTACCATGATGCCAAAATGAAATTGCTCACCTAACTATGGCTAGTCAGAAAGGTAGTCAGTAGGGTTTTTTTATGTGATAATATATTTAATGTCTTGGTCTGTTGCTTATCTTTTAGTCCGTGAGCTCTTCAGGACTGGGATTGTGTCTTCCTGCAAATGTGGACCATGCTTAGCACATTGTGAGTGCTACCATAATAGAATAAATGTAAATTGTTACATGTTTGGGTTGATTAGCGTAACTCAAAGGGCCTTTGCTATTCAGGAGTACTGGAGACATCCCAAATTCATGCCAATAAACCTCATACTACATGACACCACCATTTATTTCTTCTATAAAGGTCATGATACTGAATAGAAAGTACACTAATAATCCTACACAGGTTGACTAATATGTTCAATCTGAGCTTCCCGGCAGTATACAGTTATTTTTGTATAATACCTGTCTATTTTATAACTAGCTAATATATTTTTCTGTCTCACTTATGATGAGACGACAACAGCAATATAAACAGACAGACAAGTTGGTTTATTTTTTTTAATGAAAGTTATTCACAACAGGTGACTCTCAGTGCTTGGCAGCATTTTTCACCATCATCATTACTGCTGCTTATGGTTATTTTCTCACTGTTTTTTGACAGGTTTGAGTCAGAGCTTTGTGGGTTCATGTGATGAATGTTATCAAGTGCACACTTTGCATTCACAACATAATAATACTCTGCATAGGCTAGTAGGTTTTTTCTTGCCAGGATCTTTAACAGCCACTGGAATTAGTGGTGTTCAGGTTAGTCTTTTTTTCCACCTTGAGAGCTAATCAGAAAATTATTTTCTTCTTTTGCTGCTGCTATCTGACTTTGGTGTTTGAAATAGACATCTCTTTAATCTGCAAATGAGTGGAAATTTAAGTACTATGCAAGAGAGCCTCTCTTGCCTGAAGCTGCTAGAATTGTTGCATTAGCTGAAGAGTAGTCTCTTGCTAATGAATTTACTCACTACTTGCATGCAGCAATAATCTAAATAGGTGACAGGCTGAGAACCTCAGCTTTTCAAATGGCTGCATGAAGTGACTTTACCTCCGACACCATAACTCCGAATTTCTATTAAGTAGTCCTTCAGATTAGTATATATGTGTGTGAGCGTGTGTGAACACACGCACATTGCTAAAACAGATCACCTACTACCTCCATTGGACCTAAATAACTAAAAAAAAAAATTTTCATGCAAATGACAACCCCTAGTTTTCATCACCTGGGTACCCACCTGTGAGGCTGGCCCTGAGTGTTTATTCATATGCCATGTTAGTAATTTAAAAGGGATGGAAAATCTTCAATTTTTTTCTCTGTTTTCTGGTCTTACAATTATTAATCTCCACAACAGAGAGTTATGGTCTGGAAAGTTTTTCCTTCCAGAATTTGTAAAATCTTTTTATTTTTCATCTTACATTACTTATTAAAGATTGGAGCTCTTGAAGTATTATTCTGGGCTATCCTGTGATGTGCATAATGTGCAATAGTTATCTCACACCAACCATTACTCCCCTGATTCCTATCTTCCAAGCATATTCTATCACTGTTAACAACTTTTTCCTCCTTTACCCATGTCAACAATCCCTCCCAATCTACCTCTACTCCATCTGCTTTATATAAAATGCTACTGTGATCTGTTTCATTCTGGGATTCATTCTGGTAATAATTTGTAACTGTTCTCCCAAGTGTCTTCCTCCTTTCACCTCATTTTTACTGTTGCTGCTGTCTTTTCAGTCTCCTTGATCTTATCATAGTAATTGACACTGTGCCACTCCATCTTCCTGGACCACCTCCAAATCTATGCAGACATCTCTGGTTCCCTTCAAGAACTATGCTTATCTAGCCTCACTGCACATTTCTGCTGATGTACTTTTCTTATTGCGGTTTCTCCATTTCTGGTGAGCCAAGAGCCCTTGCTCTATGGAGATTCATAACGTTTTCTTCTTGTTCTTCTGGTCTTTTTTATTTACCTTCTTCCTTCTCTGTTATTTTCTCTCCACCTTTTAAATATGTGTATCATAATGCTGATATTCAACTGTATATATATCATTCAACATCTTTAATAGCTCATCTCCATCCACCCTCTCTGTTCTCTTGCCTTGAGGCTTGTCTATACAGGGAAGTTAGTGCACAGCAAGATAACGTGTGAATTTACAGCACACTGGCTACACTGCAGTTACTTCCTGTATGAGCACTTTTACTGCACACTTTGTGAGCTTTAGCTTAGTACGCTTTAAGGTGTAAGTGCTCAGCTGCACTCCAGGGCTTTCGTTGCACTCAGGGCCGGCTCTGGCTTTTTGGACGCCCCAAGCAAAACAAAAACAAAAAAAAACCCTGCGGCGCGGCCGGAGCACGGGTGCAGGGGGACCAGCTGGGGGGGGAGGGAGGGAGCGGGCGGGAGAGAGAGAGAAGGGAGGGGCCAGGGCTACAGCAGGGGCGCTGCCACGCGGCCCCTCCCACTG